CCTCGAACATATCGACAGAGCGAAACCAACGATAAATGACTTGCTTCTGTGACCGCAGACTGTCTCCTCCGACTAGATTAATCACTTTTTTGTGTTGTTCACAGGCAAAGGTTTTTTCTGTCTATTTTATTCGTCAAATATTCGACATTTTCTATAGTTTTATGACGAGACAGGGAGCTCCGTTGGTCATCCTCTCACTGGTTATGTGAACAAGGACACAGCGCGCCTAGTGGTCTTATACTGCCCCCCAATCCATATGCAGTTGGCAGACGTGCAATGTTCACGCTTTACTTCCGGGCAACTCTCTTGTCGTGTTACTAAAGGTAATCCCTGTCTGCCCTGTAACTTAGTACGGCGATGGTCATGTAAACCTAGTCGCTGCACCCCAATATCAGCATAGCATTTTGAAACAGTTAACACGAGTTCACATGTGGCTTTATTATGGCTTATCTCGGTTGCTGCTGTTAAAGTGGGATTGGTGTTGGTTTCACTTACTTTACATGACACGAGGTGAAAGCAGCCTGACTCATTTCCAGCTATAGGTTGCGATATGTTAACATTTCGATTGTTTTGCTCAGCCGCAAATACCCTACAATCGGAACACATATGCGGTTGTATAGATGGGACGTGTTGCGGTTGCCAGTCCACTAACTCCCGCGACGTGCGTTGCTTGCACGCCGGAAGTGTGGATGGATAAAGATGAGGGGTGGCCATGCAGTGACTTGCTCGAGAGCATTGAAGCCCCTCACTTGGCAGTTGGCATCGGTTGTTCTTTCCAGACTGCCTGGCTGGGGACCGAAGGATGATGAACACATTTGGTTGACGTGGCGAAGGGTCGACATCATTGGTGTTTGTGTTGTGAGTCTCTTTGTCCCCCCGTTCTCTTTAGGTTTCCCCTTCCACCAATGATCACAATTGTGATCCTATCATTATGTTACTTTTTTACAGCTTTATGTCTACATTGCTTACTGCGGCACATTACTGGAGGTGTGTTTCACACTCTCCGCTAACGTGTATTGATATTGATGGACAGGCTTTTGAGTCCTCCCTAATCGTCCTCCTGTCTTGGTCGGCACTCCCTGGCAGTAGTTCAGCTTACATACACTCATGACAATTTCCCCAAACTCTAACCACATCCTTCATTGGCCGTCACAGAGTGTCTAGCGTCGCTTTATCTGCTGCCTAGAGCAGAGCGGATAAGCGAAAACATGCTACTCCTGGCGCGTCCTATTTTTCCTTCCCACCTGTTTCCCTTACTCCCCTCCCAGTCCTCATTACTTACCTTCCTTCTATAATTCTCAGTGTAATCAGCAGTAACCGCAAGGTCACTGGAGTCAAACCATCCATAACTCTCTTTCTGCGCAATCCATTGGACACCAGTCTTCAATAGCTCCTTATAAGGCCACGCTGTCCCGGCGGCGTTCAACGTTCGCACTCTAAAACAAATAGGTCAAAAATCTGCACTCGCACGCACGTTAGACACACTGGGTATTGACATGTGTTGTGTATCTCAAACGAGGATCAATGACCCCAATGTGGTTGTTGGAACAACTGCGCGCGGCTTCTCCTCTCGCTATCGGTTACACGTACCGTAGAGGCTGACGCAGCACTCATGGGTCAAGCTGAGGTAAGTACCATTCTCAGCACCAAAGCTTATCCGTTGTTGGCTGATTGGATCCTGGTGAACAACCGTTTGCGTGTAGGCCGTTTGATGACATCAACTAAGGTTGATTCACGAAGTAGTACAAAATGCTGTTTGTTCGTGATTTCCACTTACGATTCCAACGACTGCAGTTCTGATGCTGCCAAGGACATGTTGTAAAACGAACTGAACGCGCTACTACGCAGTGCTACTAGCTCAGATATCATAGTATTTCCAGGGGATATGAACGCACAAGTAGGGCGTATGACATTTTCCAAAGCTCAGCTACGTGGTAATCACGAGCTTAACTCCAACCTTACGGACAACGGAGAGCATCAGTTGTAATGGTGTGCGGGACACCAGTTGTTTCTTAATAGCACTACTTTTAGACACACTGGGCACCGAAGTGCCACTTGGCATCCTCTTGTAGCTGACCAGCGATGGACCGAAATTGATCACGTTGCAATGAATTACAGGTAGCGTGGTTCTATACTGGATTGCCGCTCGTTCTGGAATACCCGCGTCGAATCTGGTCATGCCTTATTACGCTGTCGTTTTTCCCTGAACTATACCGGGAGGCACACTTAGACACTCCCCCATTGGCAAATGAGAAAGTATCCAAACCCTCGGTCACGCAAGCCTATCAAGCTATTCTGCGTACCGAACTTTCATTCTCTTGTCCTAGTGACACTGAGCTTCAGTGGAATAGGATCTCGGGCGCCATGCACGACGCAAGAGCATCTGCTTGTGGCACTATCAATCGTTACCGCACCAGTCACTGGATATCCGAGAGGTCGGTGAACCTGTTGGAATCCAGAAGAAACCGCCCGGCTGACTGTGAGCACAATGTGACCAGACGGACTATTAGACGCAAACTAAAACGGAGCCTGCGTACTGACAAGGAAGCCTGGTGGACCAGTCGGGCTCAAGAAATGGAGAAGCCGGAAGCAGTAAGCAATTACCGTGAACACTTTCAGCTGATCCGCACCAATGGTCACAGAAAAGCAGATGTCAATGAGACAATCAGAGACTGCTGAAGCTCTCATTCACAATAAGGAGCGCCGTATGCATCTTTTGGCGGAACGCTTTCAAGATAAGTTCAGTTGGCCACCTGATCCCGCACCTTTTCCTACTCAGGCCATGCAAGACGAGCCACAGACGGTTAGTTTAGAGGCTGCATCGGAGACTGAGATGCGGAAAGTGATCACAGCGCTCAATCGTTTTCGCGCTGCTGGCCCGGATTCCCTCCAACCTGCACGGTTTAAGGACGGAGGTGAGGTGCTCTGCGAAATAATACCCTACCTATTCGAACATATTTGGAAGTAAGAGAGTGACCGTCCTAACTGGAGTGAATCGATTATAGTGGCAAGATACAAGAAAGGCAGTTGCACGGACTGTGCAAACCACAGGGCTATTAGTCTAACGCCTATAGTGATAAAAATCACTGGCTTCGATTCTAGTTCCTCACCTCACTGTGGAACGGGACTCTCGGATTTGGGAAGAGTAGGCAGGTTTCTGCCCAGGACAGGGCTGTATAGACGATATATTCACTCTGCGGCAAGAGCTATAGGAGCGATACGCATTAGCATAGCTATATTCCTGGACTTCAAAAGTACGTTCGATTCGGTAGATCAATGCAATCTGTTCGATCTACTTGCCCAGAAATTTGTTCCGACAAAATATCTGAACATTATGCTTCCTCTATATTCGAAGATGCCGCGGTAGGGTCTACGCTGACATGTCGGATAGCTTTCGGACAACGAGTGGCGTTCGTGTTGGTTGTCTATTTTCCACGGTTTTGTTCAACTTCGTCATGAAATCCGTCATTGAGAGTCCCGTTATGGAATCACACGATACAGGGGCTGAGGTCCTGCCTGGTGAAAAGCTAGTTGTCCTTGATTATGTGTAAGATATCGCCTTGCAGTTTGACGATGTTGCGGCGGCACAATCAACCCTGAATAACCTCACTGCAGTAGTCCCTTTATTTGGTATGCACTTCGCACTTTCAAAGTAGAAAGGATTGCTGCAGGACCAGCAGCCATTTGCTGACCTCTTCATCCTTGATAACGAGGAACTCGAGGTGGTTGCTCGATTCACTTAGCTTGACAGTTGCATCAGCAATGATGGGTGCAAAGAAACTGAAGCCAGTTCCGCACTGCGGAAGCCAGAACTGACTTCTTGAACCTGCAGCATCTTTGGCGATAGAAGGGAGTTTTCCTCCGTCTGAAAGACCACGTTTACATGGTCACAGTGAAGGCCATCATGCTTTATGGGAGTGAGACTTGGCCCATTCAGTGTGAAGATTTGAGGCGCCTTTAAGTTTTCCGTCATCGTCGTCTGCGGAGCAGTATTAGTTTCGAGTGGCACGCAACGATGATGTGCGTAGACGAGTACTAAGCAGTGATAAACAGTCTAGTTCCTTAGAACAACAGATATCACTAAGTTGCGTTGGCTTGGGCATGTGATACATATGCCAGGTCACCGCTTACCTAGGAGGGCCTTGTTTAGTCTCCCAGATGTAGAGTAGCGTAAGGATCGCAGTGGACAAAAGTTGACTTGGCAGCGGGAAATGTAGTCATTGACGATTAAACTCGGTGCCGTCGGTCCGTCTCGCCATCTGGGCTGGAATCCAAGTGACTTGCCTTGTGCTTGCCTCAAGACTTTACAGAATATGGCTAGCAGGTGACACCAATAGCGTGCCTGCTGCCATTTTCTTTACGGACTGCCTGTTTAACATGTGTTGATTGCTGAGTTAGCTGCGGGCTATTGTCTGATTATGAGGCGGGGCAGTAAAAACCGCAATGAAGTTGTCTTGCCGATGCCCGCCTCAAAGGGACAAGTGATGACGCAACAAAACAAAGCGGATCAGGGGATGAACCGGAGCCTGGTATCATCTATCACCAAAGACATGGTAATTCGCCATAATTTGAACGCGTAGACCGCTTTCAAGGGACTATTGCGCAACATGTACGTGATACTCTTGGCAATCAATGAGGTGTTGCTAATTTGAACCCATTAACCTGTGCACGGAAACTCTTGATGCAATTAGGTTGTCTTGGTCTTGATAATGTCATTTTGTTTGTTTATGCTACTTGTTCCATCCATATTACTGTGTATCTTCTCAGTTTGTATTGATTTATCGACTGATATACGCTATCGAAATGTTGAAATGGCTGAAGGTTACTCACTGTCTAATTTCAGAACATCAGTCGATACAGCGGTTAACTAAGGCGGACGTCATTCACGTTTCATGTGAGAGCTTTATTGGGACACCGCTTTCTATGTTCCAAGCGTTCCAATTTTTTGTTTTTTTCCCGTTTTGTTTCGATCAAATAACACATATTCTCCACTTCCACAGGTATGGTTTCAACAGCCAGGGACATGATGCAGTCTATGAACGGTTAAAATCTCGTCCTTGGGAAGGTGGGTTTATTGATACGCGCATCATTGTTTCGTCCACTTCTGTTCTGTCGACTTCTTCTAACTATGCGTATATTTAACCACCGGATGCCTTGGCCCAGGTCACGCACTCCATATGCTACAAAACACGTTTTCTCCACCTCATGATGCAACCGGCTTGTAATGTCAATTAATCGCTCCATAACAGAAGTATCTCAGCACTCTATACAGGTGTTTCTCTGCCTTATGACCACGACCATCCTGCTAATGGGGTGTAATAGGAAATGGAAATGGAACTTTGATTATCACCCAAATGCCTTGAGTGAGCCATTATGGTTAGCACGCTCAAACATCAGTCATCAACCTCATCAACAACAGCAGTACATCAGCCACTTGAACTGATACTTCGCTGCTATCCAACCATGATAACCTATGGAATAAAGAATAATAAGAGGCAGAGCACGTGGACCTTCGTCAAAGCCTTAATGCTTTGAACAAAGTAGGAGACGGTAGCAGACGCGCCACCGGTATGGACCACGAGTCATGTCCTGTAAAGTCTTGAGGCAAGCACAAGCCAAGTCACGTAAACTCCAGCCCAGTTGGCGAGACGGACCGACGGCACCGAGTTTAATCGTCAATGACTACATTTCCCGCTGCCAAGTCAACTTTTGTCCACTGCGATTCTTACGCTACTCTACATCTGGGAGACTAAACAAGGCCCTCCTAGGTAAGCGGTGAGCAGGCATACGTACTACGTGCCCAAGCCAACGCGATTTAATGATGTATGTTGTTCTAAGGGACTAGATTGTTTATCACTGCTTAGTACTCGCCTACGCACATCATCGTTGCGGACACCCTGGTGCCACTCGAAACTGGTACTGCTCCGCAGGCGACGATGACGGAAGACTTAAGGGCGCCTCAAATCTTCAGACAGAATGGGCCAACTTTTATTCCCATAGTGCATGATGGCCTTCACTGTGGCCTTGTAAACGTGGCCTTTCAGACGGAGGAAAACTCCCTTCTGTCGCCAAAGATGCCACAGGTTTAAGAAGGCAGTTCTGACTTTTGCAATGCGTGAACTGACGTCAGTTTCTATGCACCAATCATTGCTGATGCAGCTGCCAATGTAGATGAATCGGTGAACCACCTCGAGTTCCTCCTTATCAACGGTCAAGTGGTTGCTGGTCCTGCAGGAACACTTTGCACTTTGAAGGTGCGAAGCGCATACCAACTAAAGGGACTACTGTAGTGAGGTTATTCAGGGTTGATTGTGCCGCCGCAGCATCGTCAAACTGCAAGTCTATATTGTCCACATACTCAAGATCAACTAGCTTTTCACGAAGCAGAACCTCAACGCTGTCATTGTGTGATTCCCTAAGGGAACACTGCATGATGGAGTCCACAAAGAAATTGATCAGAAACAGGGAGATCGGACAATTTTTCTGAACGCCACATGTTTTCCGAAAGCTATCCGACAGGTCAGCGTAGACCCTGACGCGGTCTGCAGTGTTCGAGTATATGGCACGTAAGATGTTCACCTATATCATGGGAACAGCTATCCGTGCAAGTAGATCGAACAGATTGCATCGATCTGCTGAATCGCACACATACTTGAACTCGCCGAATTCAACTATTGTCGATCTGCAATATGCGTGGCTATGCTTTAACATCTACCGCAGGTTGAATATTAGCTTAACACAGCGACGTCTTAGTCGGTAATTTGCCTGCTCTTTCCTAATCCGGGAGTCCCGTTCCACAGTGAGGTGAGGAACTAGAATCGAAGCCAGTGATTTTTATCACTATAGGCGTTAGACTAATAGCCCTGTGGTTTGCACAGTCCGTGCAACTGCCTTTCTTGTATCTTGCCACTATAATCGATTCACTCCAGTTAGGACGGTCACTCTCTTACTTCCAAATATGTTCGAATAGGTAGGGTATTATTTCGCAGAGCATCTCACCTCCGTCCTTAAACCGTGCAGGTTGGAGGGAATCCGGGCCAGCAGCGCGAAAACGATTGAGCGCTGTGATCACTTTCCGCATCTCAGTCTGCGATGCAGCCTCTAAACTAACCGTCTGTGGCTCGTCCTGCATGGCCTGCGTAGGAAAAGGTGCGGGATCAGGTGGCCAACTGAACTTATCTTGAAAGCGTTCCGCCAAAAGATGCATACGGCGCTCCTTATTGTGAATGAGAGCTTCAGCAGTCTCTGATTGTCTCATTGACATCTGCTTTTCTGTGACCATTGGTGCGGATCAGCTGAAAGTGTTCACGGTAATTGCTTACTGCTTCCGGCTTCTCCATTTCTTGAGCCCGACTGGTCCACCAGGCTTCATTGTCAGTACGCATGCTCCGTTTCAGTTTGCGTCTAATAGTCCGTCTGGTCACATTGTGCTCACAGTCAGCCGGGCGGTTTTTTCTGGATTCCAACAGGTTCACCGACCTCTCGAATATCCAATGACTGGTGCGGTAACGATTGATAGTGCCACAAGCAGATGCTCTCGCGTCGTGCATGGCGCCCGAGATCCTATTCCACTGAAGCTCAGTGTCACTAGGACAAGAGAATGAAAGTTCGGTACGCAGAATAGCTTGATAGGCTTGCGTGACCGAGGGTTTGGATACTTTCTCATTTGCCAATGGGGGAGTGTCTAAGTGTGCCTCCCGGTATAGTTCAGGGAAAAACGACAGCGTAATAAGGCATGACCAGATTCGACGCGGGTATTCCAGAACGAGCGGCAATCCAGTATAGAACCACGCTACCTGTAATTCATTGCAACGTGATCAATTTCGGTCCATCGCTGGTCAGCTACAAGAGGATGCCAAGTGGCACTTCGGCGCCCAGTGTGTCTAAGAGCAGTGCTACTAAGAAACAACTGGTGCTCCGCACACCATTGCAACTGATGCTCTCCGTTGTCCGTAAGATTGGAGTTAAGCTCGTGATTACCACCTAGCTGAGCTTGTGTGTTCATATCCCATGGAAATACTATGATATCTGAGCTAGTAGCACTGCGTAGTAGCGCGTTCAGTTCGTGTTACAACATGTCTTTGGTAGCATTAGAACTGCAGTCGTTGGAAGCGTAAGTGGAAATCACGAACAAACAGCATTTTGTACTACTTCGTGAATCAACCTTAGTTGATGTCATCAAAAGGGATGCACGCAAACGGTTGTTCACCGGGATCCAATCAACCAACAACTGATAAGCTTTGGTGCTGAGAATGATGCTTACCTCAGCTTGAGTGCGAACGTTGGACGCCGACATTGGAGCGTGTCAACTTGGCCCTTTAGCGGATGGTTGCCGATTGGCGTCCGATGGGTGTTGCGGTAAGGTGATTATAGATGGTTGTACATTGGTGGCACTTCTTTCACTGTTAGTTACGCTGAGTTAGTAATGGGGGCTGAGGTTGGGGTAAGCAAAACACGTGCAAAGTATGTACGCAGTAGCAGTAGCATGCTTTCGCTTATCCGCTCTGCTGTATGCAGCAGATAAGGCGACGCTTGATAATCTGCGGGAAGACTGATATAGGTTGTGGTTAGAGTTTGGGGACTGTCTGGACTGTCTTGGACTGTCTGGCGCTTATGGTGTGGGCTTCCAACCGGTGTCCCATTGGGTAATGTCCCATGACCAATGAGAGTGTCAACGACGCCAAAACACCGTTCTTAGCCTCGCTAACTTGAAAACACTGCACGCGATTTCGAAAATGTGCCACGCTAAAAGCTTGGTACAATGCGCTAACCTGTGTGTAAAATGGTATAGCTGCGGCGAGCCCTCACTCATAACCAAAACCAGATCGTGCCAACAAGACATCTCACGTTATGCTTTCACTGTCTCACTTCACAATCAATCTTAACTCACAGGTAACTCAACATCATGGGCATCTTATATAAGGGGCCCAACCTGGAGGCGACAGCAATCGCACGCGTAGTGTCGACTGCAAGCCTACGAAGTCTCGGACTAGGCACAAGGTGGGTCGCTTAGAGTCCACTCAGAATAGCGAGGCTCTCCGTCAGTATCCATGTTAGCCGTCTTTGTTTTCATTCCTTGCCGCTAGTTTAACTTTTGCTTTCATTTAGCCCTAAAACGCCCCACATACGACAAACAGAATACAGGGACTTTCTTATGCGAAACAGAATACTGCTTATCTGAGTGAGTGTTGCCAGGGCTTACGTAGCACGTGCATAAGCCGGATTTTCCTTATCACTTCAGCTCAGTACTTTCATTTACACTGTGCTGTCGAATTCGCATCCGAGGAATATCTGCAGGGCTTTGATTGTTCTCTCTGTCTCTTCGTTCAGCTAAACATCATTCGCTATCCGTTCCAGGTATGGGCATCGTCGGAGTGAACCTCGGATGCAACAAAAATGCAGCCAATCCCGTGGCCGATTTTGTGGCCGGCGTAGAAAAGTTCGGCGAGGTGGCGGATTATCTTGTGATTAATGTGTCCAGTCCAAACACACCGGGATTGAGAGCATTACAGCGCAAGGAAAGTCTGCGGAACTTGTTGACTCAAGTGAGTAGCATCTCTTTTATTTCTACCGGTGCCATTTATGCGAAATTCGCAATTGCATACGGGAATCTAGACCTCTGTGAGAAGGTGCTTTTCTGCATATCAGAGCACTGGTACGCTGATGTACTTACCACTTTCCTTAACACCAGATGCGGAAGTTAGCCAGCCTTTGTGTTTTTCTATGCCCTGGTTTTGCCAGCTCGTATGTTTGTTCGAAGTTCGTGAGACCTCAACCCTTGCAATCACTGTCATTGCAGTGGATGTGATTGGACGGAATTGAAACGTCTGGTGCGCAGGTAAGACCCAGACGAACACATGCCTTACCGTCATCATAAACCGTGTACAGCGGTGCATGCTCCTTGCGTGCCTAGGCCAATTAATCCTGGTCATAAACGCTTAGTATATAAAAAAGAGACTGTTAAGTCAGTAGAGTGAGCGTCAATGCATCTAAATGACACTATACTTCCAACATCATTTACTGAGCCCACCAGTACTGCATCCAATGTGCTGCATCCTAACTGCACTCAGCCCATGTTTGTACATCGATGTGTGCAGTCACATGCCTGACTTTTCTATTTGCTTGCGACTCTTCCACCCCTACTGCCTATATTAAGAGCCTACTAATAGTTACTGTGGAAGACGGACGCATAGGAGTGTTACCGTAATGGAACGGAATACTATGTACTGTATTATAAGAGCAACTGTGAACTTAAACCCCTACAATCCAATCGGAATATAATCAAAAATACTATAGAAAGTAACTGTCACTGCCCATACCCTAATATTTCTTCAGATTCTTAGGTAGCACTTGTAAATGTCTGACTTACCGTATCACTGGGCTCACAAACGTAAGACGTCGTAGTCTGTGTGCAATCGTTCTCTGAATCGAATGTTTGTGAAATGTAAATTTAACAACCTCTCGAACTGCTGCATAGACGCAGCCTCCACGATTTGTTCTGGCAGACTCGCGATAGTCGAGTTGATAGCTGATAGGGACTTGAGAATCGGTAGGTGGAGTCCCTCATATCCAGCAGATTTGTCCATTCAGTTCCACTTTGGGTTTGATAGTCGTCTAACGATCGTTTGCGTTTGACTGTGATGACCGGACCAGCGTATCTTAGTGCACTCACCGACTTCGTTATACCGCAGGTTTACTCGCGGAGCCAGCGATGGCATCGTGTGTGACAACACACTCTATGTCACTATTCGCATTTCGAACGCGTGCATCCACTTCATCCGCTCAGCAAATAACATAAGCGGTCTCTCATGTACGCATCAAAGCTGCTCTTTGATCAGGTTTCGGCTCATATGGTGCAGCGTGGATTCGATTATAAATCCACGTGCACTGCAATTTTCTGTCTGCAACCCGGAAAAACCTTACCTATTCATCTGCTCCCGTGAACACCTTTCAATTTTGATTGGGCCTCGCTCTACCCGGATGATCAACCATACATACATATCGCAACGAGACTGGACCTTACGGTGGTGCTGTTTTGCGCATTCCTGTGACCCATTGAGCTACGTTGGTTGGCACTTTCCAAGGGCCTTCAGAGCCACTCATACCAGACAGGTCAATACTTAGGGGTTAGACTCAGCCTCATAATCCTATCCTATTCGTAGTTTAGAGAGAGGTAGATGGACCTCTTCCTTTAAAACCTAGCCATGGGAGACAACAGGTCTACGGGTTATAAGCTCACAGCTCGATTGGCGTAGAGCATCAGCGCCACGCATTTTCCCTCACGGTCGGAGGGCACCTCCCGGTGCTCAGTAGTTTGCTACTGCCCGCCTTACGCCAGGCAGCCTCTGGTCAAATCGATGCAAACCCGCCAACTCCCACCTGCGGCTGGCGGTGATCGCAGGTACGTAACGTAATACGGTCGTAAAAGACATGTGCATTGTTCGAATTCTTTAAAGGTTGTGTGTGACAGACCCCAAGCGGATCCCAATGCGTCTCTGCAATCACGCTTCCGAGTTGGACTTGCTCCCCATTGCCTTATGGGTCAGGCTATTGAGCCAAAGGCTCCGGGCGAAGTCTCTCAAGCGAATCCCCAAATCTCCCACTGCATTGTGGGTGCTATTCCAGCTCATCCAGAACACGTGTCCAAGAAAGCCATCCGTTAGTGAGACAATAGCTGAGAAAGATGGATTGTTGATCCACTCTCAGCGTCGTCGACTAGTCCGTCGGGTGGGGCATTTTAAGGAGCAGTTCAGCTGGCCTGATGCGACACTGCCGTTTGCCGAATCATCTGAGCCGACGTGGGAAATAGATATCACATCTCTCACTGTGGAAGTGATTCGACATGAGCTTGCCGTGTTAAAACGAAACAAGGCTCCGGGACCCGATCGCCTTCCCCCATCTTTGCTGAAGGATGGTGGTGCCACTTTGTTGTTGCCTCTCTTTTTAACACGATTTGGGACACTGAAGAAGTGCCTTCAGATTGGCGACTGTAAACTGTCATGTCCATCTTCAAGAGTGATCAGCGTACTTTGTGCGAAAATCATCGAGCCTTATTTCCATTGCCTCCAAACTTCTTACGGGCATCATTCTGCGACGTCATTGGCCCCCGTGAGGACCGAATCACTGAAAGCTAGACTGGCTTCCGCCCTGGCCGTGGTTGCCTTGACCACATATTTACTCCTCGTCAAGTTTTAGAGCGGTGACTCACGTATAGACGACTGACTATGGTGGTTTTCCTTGGCTCGACAACCGCCTTCGACTCTGTTGACCGCGCCAGCGTGAGACACTGCCTATCCATTAAGGGTGTGCCAGCTAACTTTCTTTTCATTCTGGATTCCCTCTGCCGTGATTCCTGAGGGCATGTAAGAGTCTACGGGAAACTCCTGAATTCCCCACGACAAGTGGGGTTCGCCAGGGTTGTCCTATATCTCCTTTCGTCTTCAACTGCTCTAAATGAACATGAATGACTCAGTTATTTCAGACTATCCTGGAGTTGAAATTCTCCCAGGTGACCGACTCACAAACTTGGAATATGCGGACGACATAGTTCTCCTTGGGTCTGATGTTTTGGCTATACAAACACTATTGCACAGACCTGTACGTAGCGCTGCACTGTTCGGCATGCACTTTGCACCTCCAAAATGCAAACTAATGTTGCAGGACTGGGCGGACACCTCCGTTTTTTCTATTTCCCAACAGTCACAGGAACTGCTGGATCAGTTCTCTTACCTTGGTAGCTGTGTCACTTCTGGTGTTCACATCATTGAGGCATCTATTTCGCGTATCAGCAAAGCCCGCGTGGCTTTGCAGAAGCTCATCCATTTGTGGGGACGACAGAATGTCAGCTTGACAGTGAAAAGTAGAGTGTATAGCGCTGCGATAAGACCGGTGTTTATGTAGGAATCGGAGACATGGCCAGTTTGCAGTGAAGACATTAAACGCTTGACCATGTTTGACCACCGGTGCTTGCGAAGTATTGCTGACATATGGTGAGAACATCGGTTGAACAATACTAAGGTTCGCCAGTTGGTTTTTGGCAAGAAGCCTTCTGGTGCTTCTCTCGGGAAATAAGGAAACCAGTGCCCTGAATACACCTTATTGTTTGGAACACATTTCACAAGCTGCTTGGGAGCATGCATTGGGACCACATCAGATTCTCTCATAGCCGCAGGCGACTTTGCGAAAATTGTCATCACATATGATTGGCGGCATCCGGTTTCGGATTTGCCTGTCACTGGGGCCAGCCACAGAACGCATGCGCCTACAGAGAGACCATAGGTGGCTCGCGCTGCACCACCCACAGCTCCAACCACACACCCAATATCCAGTGTAAACCCGAAGGAATAAAACCGGGAGGCATGTGGATGGGAGCCACGTTTCATCAACGGAGCCGGCCCACACTCCTTCACAGGCTAACATAAGCACGCTGTAGTTGGGGATCAATCGTACATAAGGCGGTGGCTGGACCGTAGTCCGCTTCACACTGAGTGTATGGAATCACTCTTTGATCCTAACACGGCCACAAAGACCGTGCATCCCGTCCCCTCCAACAATGACCAACTATCTCCTAGAGCCACTATGGACGAGGTAGTGGGTAATAGACAGGTAGGCACCTTGTCAACATACACATCAAACACACAGTCACATCGGGGATGTCAAGCAACCGACAATCACTTGTGAGAAAGAAAACAAATAGAATAAATCGAGTAATGCATAAGGAAACGGTGACATAATTCTTAAATTAATGAGCGTATGAAGGAAGTTGTTCATAAAAGGATGCGAGATAAGTTCACTAGATCAGACAGTATATTTCACGGAAATGCCACAAACACGACAATGTTACCAAAATTAATGATTTCAGAAGGTTTGAATACACATCGGTTTTGCTAGGGTTTTATTGTGGCAACGTTTCGCCCTTGACACAAGAGCTTCTTCAGGCCAGGTTTGTATTCAAACCTTCTGAAATCATGAAATCATAGTCGGTTCCAAGCATATTCCGAGATATTTAACAAAATTAACTTCAATTGGCTTAAGCGACGTGTGCAAGTCTATAGAAGAGAGTATACCTAGGCATTTATGAGAGAAAGAAAAGCATTAGGACAAAATTGAAAATCACCCAGCAGAAATAGTCGGTCGCTTCTCGGCACAGACCGTATCACAGAGGATAGCTGCGTGTAGAATTGATCACGCGTGTCATCACGATAACACGTGGTCGGACCGTACGTGCCTATATAGGTGTCAAACATACCTATTCCGAGTCGTAGGCGAACAGTCATCAGTCGCGCGCTGATGCCTGTTTATTCACCCACGAGCTGAACGTGGAGGTGATCGGCTATTGCAAATCCGATCTCATAATCAAGTGTTCCTGAGGTGGTCTTACCCACCCAGAAGAATGTGTAGTCAGCACCTGCTTCATGCAACTTACCTTGCTCAGCGAGCCGGGTTTCACTGAGCGCCGCAATACCTATGTCGTAGCGCATCAGCTCCATCGTGATGAGTACAGTGTGCCGCTCCGGGCGCTCCCTGGAGTTCCAGTCCAGTGGTG